GTCCAAACTGGAATCACAGCAGCCCCGCCCCCTCACCCTGGGGCTCCCCACCCGCCCCAGGTGATGCTGCTGCACCCACCCCAGAGCCATGGGGGGCCCCCCCAAGGCGCGGTGCCCCAGAGTGGGGTGCCTGCACTCTCAGCTTCCACACCCTCACCCTACCCCTACATCGGACACCCCCAAGGTGAGCAGCCTGGCCAGGCGCCTGGATTTCCAGGAGGAGCCGATGACAGGATTCGTGAGTTCTCGTTAGCTGGGGGAATTTGGCATGGAAGAGCTGAGGGGCTGCAGGTGGGGCAGGATGCACGGGTTCTGGGTGGGGAGTGAGGGGTCTTGGAGGCAGGGCTGTCCCACAGGGCGCCCGCCGACGTGCACCTGTCTGTGAAGTATGTAGGGTGGGCAGAAGCCACAGTCGCCGCCGCCAGGGGCTTGCTCCTGGCTCTGTCCTTTGCTTCCCTCCGTCCTCGCTCAGTTGTGATCCAGCAGCCCCCCTCCCCACTGCCTCCCCAGCTCTCAGTGACCCCGACTGTCTCCTGACTTAGCCGAGGTAAGGTCAGCGCAGCAGACAGGGCCAGACTGGGGTGTGGGGGGCTGAGCTGGGCACACAAGTAAGGGCTCTGGCTTACTGGGAAACAGCGTTTGACCTGTGCTTCTGACAGCCCCATGAGACACCTTGAGGAGGCCGCTCCTACCCAAACACCCCCACGCCCCCACTGGACGGCATTGGATGAAGGGACAGCTGCTTGGGTTCTAATGCTCCTGCTCTCTTCTCTTTCCCCTCCAACCAGTTCAATCTCATCCCTCCCAGCAGCTCCCCTTCCACCCCCCGGGGAACTGAAGATTGTCCTGGCCGCGACCTGAGACCTCCATGAGTGGAGGGAAGAGTGATCTATGTCTCTTCCCCCAGCAGCTCGGACCAGTCCCAGCCCCCCAAACCCCCCTTTCCCCAGGGGAGCTGGGGAATTCCTGCCAAGCACCTTGAATGGGAGGGGCCTCAAAGTGGGCAGGGCCAGGGTCCAGCAGGGGTTGGGGGGGTCCTGCTCTGCTCTGCCCTGCCCATTCCCACCCAGTCTTGCCCTCCCATCCTCTCATCTGTTCCCCCGCTGGAGACGGAAGATCTTTTATTTTCTATTATTTATAACTTCAGACTCGGGCCCCCCTATTCTTTCTTTCCCATTAACTTGAGTGATCTGTGTGAGAGACAGACAGATGCCCCACAAGGATGGTTGGACAAGGACTTTTACTTTTTATTACATAAAAATATTAAAAAATAAATAAAAAAAATAAAAATTTAAACTAACTTAACCTGCCTATAGTTTCCTGTTTGGAGACTAGAGTACAGTTGTAGCTCTACAGTCTTATTAGTACTAGTGTTACATTTATCTTGCCATCATCTGTTCCCTGATTCCCTTCATGTAAAAATTGGAGCCAATTTCTCTAAACCCTAGGATAAGGGGAAGCAAATCAGGGTCTTAATGCTATTCCTTTGAAGGTGGGTTCCAAACAATGTTCTGAAGTTGTATAGTTGGTGACTAAGGTTCTGGATAACTGGATGGCTAAACACATGTGAGACAGTCCCCTTCCCAAAATGGAACAGTGTGGCAGTGTGATGCTGTCCCTGGCTGGCTCTGGAGCTGCTGCTGCACAGGGCACCCAACCTCCCAGTGACTGTTTTCTCATCCCGAAATCAGCCTCATCTCGAGGTGCAATTGAAAGTTTTCATTTCTAATGTAAGTGCCTCGTGAATTAGGTCCACCTCTTTATGTTGGAAACTGCTTTAGTGTTTCTGGCCATTGGAAGTAAGGCCTGATTGGTGCACAACGGAGAGGTCTTGGGTGTGGGTGACAGCTATTAAAGGTGAAGCTGCTAGTGGGAGAAGGGAAAGGACTGGTTGGGGAACCAGGTTTAAGGGAACAGGAGCTAAATTAGGGGTTATGGATGGGACAAGAAGATCGAAGCATGGCATGTGGAAATGACAACAGGCTTCAGGGGAGGTGTTTTTTCAAGGAGGCAGTTTGGATTTCTCTACTGTGAGACCTGACTTTGGTTTCCCTATCTTTAAAATGGAGATAATTTCACTTTTACAGGCTTGTGAGGATGAGCCTGCTGCTCGGTGGTAGGCAAGGGTGTTTCAGCTTGGACCACAGCCGGAACAAACTTGGAGAGACAAGGGCAGGAGGAATGAAGGCTAGATATTTGGGGAGATCCCCAGGGTACGAGGATCTGAAACTTGGGAATAGGTGGGCATGGTGGGGACGGGAGAGGGTATATTACGAAGGGGATTTTACTTGGCAGCCGCTTGATTGCTAAAAACAGGCAAGGTTGGGGTCCCAAGTAGAAGAGCTCTCCAAAGATAGGGATAGGATGAGGGACATCAACTGGGGCGAGGGGTGGAGGACAATGACGAAAGCAGCAGGAGCAGGAAAGCCTTCAGTTGAGCTCAGGATGCCTGAAGTCCAGATGGAGATGCAGGTGTCTGTAGCACTGAAATGGCGCAGGTGTTGGTGAGCAGTCCTTTTGATGCTTTTCGGGAGAATTGCAGATAGGTCATCCAAGCCCCCCAGTGGACCCTGAAACTGCAGATGGTATGGAGCCCTATACATGCTATGCTTTTTCCTATATATACATACCTGTGATAAAGTTCAATGTGTTAGGCACAGTACTTATGCACTGCAGGGCCATTCTTAAGTAAAATAAGGATTCCTTGAACACAAGCACTACGATACCATGAGGGTTGGTTGATCTGATTACCCTGATGGCTGCTAACAGGCAAAGGGATGATTCACATCCAGAGTAGGACAGAGCAGAACAGTGTACAATTTAAAACTTAAGAATTATTTCTGGGTTTTTACATTTAGTATCTTAAGAGCACAGTTGACTGCAAGTAGCCGAAACTGAAAGCCATACTGCAAATGGGGGGGGACTACTGTATATTAATTGATCATCTTTGAGCAGAAGTCTTTTCAGAGTTGGAAGGGAACTTAGTTTTTATCCAGGGAAGAATTCCCTTGTGAAACCTTTCAGCTTTGCCTTGAACAGAAAGAGGAGAAAACGAAGCTTCTCCATCATTGGAACTCAAACAGAGTTCTTCCTTACATCCTCCCTCCCACCCACCTCCCTCACTTAGCTTCCGCCGGCGAGGCACTCACCAAGCAGACTGACTCAAAAAAAACACCACACAGAGTCCAACCAACCGCCCTCCCGGCGGCGGGCCCGTCCATCCACACCCACCCACCCAATGAAACCTACTTTGGGGTCAGCATCCTTGCCAGTCATCATTCCAAGTTTTAAAATCTCAGCATTTTATTCCCTGCATATTAGATAAACAGCTGTTTTCTTAATTTTAAATCTTGGTAAATGTTGAAAATCAAATTTATTCTTCAGCCTCTCAGTGATAGAGCAGTGATGACCCATCAAATATGCTTCAGGAGTGATCATTTGCTGAGATTTTATGCATATCAAGTGCCTCATGTACTAAGTTTAGAGATGAACGAGACACAGGCGTACCTCGTTTTACTGCACTTTGCTGTATTGCGCTCCTCAGGCGTCTTTCACAATCTGAAGGTTTCTGAAACCCTGCACTGAGCAAGTCTACCAGTGCCATTTTTCCAGCAGCATGTGTTCAATTCGTGTCATTTTTTCCTTTAGCAATGAAGTATTTTTTAATTAAGGTATGTACAGGTACGTACATAGTTTTTTTACTCATGATGCTATTGTACGCTTAATACAGTCGACCTTTGAACAAAATGGGCTTGAAACGTGGGTCCATTTAGTGCAGATTTTTTTCAATAAAAATTGCACTGAGTGTGCCTGCCTCCCCTTCTACCTCCTCCGCCCCTAAAACAGCAAGACCAACCCCTCCTCTTCCTCAGCCTACTCAACGTGAAGATGACAAGGATGAAAACCTTTAGATGATCCACTTAACAGTAAATATATTTTCTTTTTTGTGATTTTCTTAATGTCTTCTTTTCTCTAGCTTATTTTAAGAATACAGTATGTGATACATATAATGTACAAAATATGTGTTAATTGGCTGTTATCAGTAAGGTTTCCCATCAACAGATTTTTGGGAAGTCAAGAGTTATACATGGGTTTTTGACTGCACAGGGGGTCAGTGCCCCAACCCCCTTATTGTTCAAGGGTCAGCTGTAATGTAAATGTAACTTTTATATGCACTGGAAAACCAAAAAAATATTTATGACTTGCTTTATTGCAGTAGTGTAGAACCAAACCTCCAATATCTCCAAGGTATGCCTGCAGAGTCCTTATTAATCGAGTCAGTCTAAACAGGTAGGCCGGGCTTGGTGGCTCACGCCTGTTAATTCCCACACTCGGGGAGGCTGAGGCAGGAGGATGACATGAGGCCAGGGGTTTGAAACCAGCCTGGACAACACAGCAAGATCTGTCTCTACAAAAAAAAATTTTTTTTTTTTAAACCAGTCAGGCATGGTGGTATGTACCCATAGTCCCAGCTACTCCAGAGACTGAGGCAGGAGGATCACTTGAGCCCAGGAGCTTGGGGTTACAGTGAGCTATGATCACACCACTGCACTCCAGCCTGGTTGACAGCAAAACCATGTCTCTTAAAAAATAGAAGTAAAAAGTTTAAACAGGTAACTAGACACTGACCTAGTAACTATTCAAAGAGGACATAAGGTGCATTTGGCACCTGAGCTCAGGCCATGCTGGCTCCAGTGGTAACCAAATTCATTCCCAGTATCTCCCAGGAGACTGTTCAACAATACCCTACTGTAGCATTCTACTAGGCAATCACACAAGGCTCACTGGACTAGATTTCTCCTCTCAAGTTGTTGCAGCAGTAATGATGGCTTTAAAGACAGCTTTTCCAGCCTACACCGTAGAGATGGACTCTCACTGCTGGAGAGGGACTATTGTTAAAATGGCTCTGGGCTCTCACAAGCTCCTCAGCTGTCTGGTCTTCAATGCCCTTTTTGTACTCCTTCATCCTCTCCAACTTACACAAGAACAGACACACAGGCTGGCTTACTATTCACAGAACAGTTTATTGGCCCACCTCACCAGGCAGACCACCCCTACTGACCAAGGGGAAGTGTCCGTCTAGCTGCACTCTGCCGGGTTGCAGCTTGTGCCCTGAGGGCACCAGAAGCGGGAGAGAACACTGGCCAAGGCAGCCCTAAATGCAAGAGAACGTGGGCGGAGGGCCACAGACTCAACTCCACTTGATGTTCTTCTCCTCCTCAGTCATGGCTTGCGTGTCAGTGACAAGGCCGGTGCCAATGGTCCGGTTGCCATCTCGCAGGGTGAAACGCTGGCCTTTCTCTAAGATCATTGGCTGCCGCAAGATTAGGCTGAGCTTCAGGTCCTCCCCAGGCATGGCAAGCTCCTGGAGGGGACAGAGAGGATCATCATGCATGGCCTTCAGGGTGTCTTTATTCTTACTGTTTGCTGACTGTCTTGGAGGTTAAGAGTCACAGGAAAATGCAGCAGGGTGATGATTCTGCCTGGGGGCAGCACCATCCGTCCGAGCTGTCAGGCAGATGCAAACAGTATATTCAAAACAGGAGAGTGTAAAAGGGACCGGTGATGAGTGCTCCTATGGTATGTTCATGTGAAAAAATGCTTAGGAAAGTCTGGCTTATGCAAATTTCTTAATTACAGAGCTTCTCTGAGCCTTCATATACAGTGAAACATTCAACAAGAGGAACCCTTATCTAGAAAATCTTTCTGTGGGCAAATGCTGGTATAGCTAAGCCGCTAACCTACTTCAGCCTAGGGCAGACTGGATGAGGACTTGTTCCCCCTAAGACCACTGGTCAAGACCCCTCCACCTACTAGCTTCACTGACAGCAGCAGCAACCAGCCTCTCTTGACCCAAGGAAATAGTCACCCAGATTGTTGTATGACATCTTTGGAATCATGAGTGAGGCAGAGCTGATAAAAAGAGCGCCCCCTTCACCGTACCTTCCCTGGCGGCAGGATGATACGACAGGCCATGTCCCAAGTCAGGGAGAACATGACGGGCATGAAGTGGGATACAAAGGGCTTGTGGCGACCACCCTCCTCCTTGGTGAGGATGTAAACCTGGAGGCGATAAAGCAATGACAGTGGAGCGGGGCTTGGCTGGAAGCATCGCTTCTGTACACAGGACAGCTTGGCTCGGCCCTGCCCACCATCACCTGGTGCCCTCACCTGTGCCTCCACCTTCTGGTGGGGCTGGATGGAACCTGGCTTGGCCATGACCAGGCCACGCCTCAGGTCTTCCCGCTTCAAGCCTCGGACCAGGGCCCCGAGGTTATCCCCTGCCTCTGCCCTCTCCAGGCTCTTGTGGAACATCTCAATGCCTGAGGGGGAAGAGAGAAAGGAGGAAGAAGGGACAAGGGAGGAGAGTCTGAGGCAGAGGGAAGGCACAAGTGGAAAGGTCATCCTGGAGCCAGCCCCTAGGTCCCAAGGTTTCCTTCCTGTACCTGTCACCACAGTGCGAATGTTCTTGCTATGTCCTAGGAACTCACAGTCGTCTCCCTTCTTTAAAATGCCACGCTCTAGTGTACCTGTCACCACCGTGCCCCGGCCTGGAAGGGAACAGGACAGGACATCAGGGACACCGGGTCAGGCTATTACCAAGAAGCCTGAATAAGCACAGTCCTCACCAGGGATAGAGTAAACTGTCTCTACAGGCAGCAGGAAAGGCTTCTCCAGATCCCGGGTGGGCACTGGGATGTAAGTGTCCACGGCATCCAGCAGCTTCTGCACAGACTTCAGGCCTAGCTCAGGGTCACGTTGCTGTTGGAAGAAGGTGACAGGACTCTGAAATCTCCATTCCACTCCTCTTATTTACCAAGAGCCATTTCCTAGACACAGCAGAACTCTGGACACTCATCCAGCCCCATCCTCTGCAGGCAGCCCCGGCCAACCCCAGCCTGACCCTGCCTTCACCTCAAGGGCACAGAGAGCAGATCCTACGATGACTGGGGCCTCGTCCCCTTTGTAGCCAAACTCATTGAGCAGTTCCCGGATCTCCAGCTCAACTAGCTCCACCATCTCCGAGTCCTGGACAGCGTCTGCCTTGTTCACATACACCACAATGTGCTCTACCCCAATCTGTAGATGGGAAAGACACAGGCATAGTGTCCAGAGTGGCCCAATACCCCCTTTCTCTTTCCACCCCTACCCAGGCTCCAAGTACCTGTTTGGCCAGTAATAAGTGCTCTCGAGTCTGTGGCATGGGGCCATCATTGGCTGCCACCACCAGGATGCAGCCGTCCAGGGGGGCAGTGCCTGTGATCATGTTCTGGGTAGGAGGAAGAAAGGAAACACTCAGCCGAGATCAACTCCCTGTTCATGTAGCCAAGTGCAGCAGCTAGAAACTGAGCCCCTCCCCCCCTTTTTCCCCCATCTCCTCACCCACTTCGGCCACGGCCACGCATCTATGATCTCATATCCAGACATCTTGAATACCTTAACCTCCTCCCTCCAAACCTAGCATCCTGACAGGAAGCAGCTTATGACCCTGTCCCCAGTGTCCCCGACAACCCTCACCTTAACATAATCTGCGTGACCCGGGCAGTCTGTGTGAGCATAGTGGCGGTTGGCCGTGCTATATTCCACGTGGGCCGCATTGATGGTGATACCCCGAGCTCGCTCCTCAGGGGCATTGTCAATCTCCTCATACTTCTTGAATTTGGCCCCACCTCCCTCTGCTAGAACTAAAGGAGAAAGAGAACACACCTCTCAGCTAAAGTTTCAGAGCTAGAGGAGGCAGGGCTCAGGCCACACCCCCAGGTCCCTCCCACTTAAATAAACTATCTCCCTCAAATCTCTAACTTCCTGCACAGATAACTGCGGGTCAGAAAAAAATGTTAAAGGGCTTCAAGGGGCTGCCCTCTGACTTCTCCAGGGTAAGGCCTCTGATTACAGAGCATTTCCCACGGATAGAGGGAGGCCACTCAGGGTCCCCCAATTTATGCATCAGAGTTCTTCACGTTCAGGGGAAATCTGTCTTCTGCATCTTCCAATCAACCCCACAGTCCGAGTTCAGGCTCCTGGGGCCACAATAAACTCCTCCAGCAGACACTCGGCTGGCCCCACCTCCCCAGCTCCAGGTCTCGCCGGACGCCCCCACCCAAAGCCCGCTCACTCTTCGTGATGGCCGCAGTCAGTGTGGTCTTGCCATGGTCCACATGGCCGATGGTACCCACATTGACATGGGGCTTGTCGCGCACGTAAGTCTTCTTGGCCTCCACCGCTAGGCCGCGGCACAAGAGAGGCAATGCTGGGGCCTTCGGCGGCCGCAACAGACCCTGCAGCAGTGGGACTGGGCCGGCGCTGAGACCTGCTGGGACAGAGGCTTGGAGTCAAGGGGTAAGTCCGATCCCGGATACCCGCGATGCCCCCCACGTGTCCCTGGGCCGCTATCGCCCTCCCCGGCCCCTCACCGCTAAGGCGGGGCGTCGCGCGCAACAAGGTGGCGGCCGCCATTGTGCTCGTACTCGCGCCCCGGGTGCAGGGTACCGGATGCCGGCAGCCTGCGCGTGCAACGGAGAAAGGGCACTTGCGGCTGGAAGCCACTTCCGGCGGAAGTAGGGGGCCTGGAGGGCAGGTCTAGGCACCTCTAGCCCCAGTTTCTATGGCCTTCTCCGCCGACTTCCGGGCGGGGCCGGATCGAGAAAGTTTCCACCGCCCACTCCGGCCTCACGGCGGGACGAGGTAGTTCTTTCAGGCAACGCCGGGGCGGAGGGAAGTGGAGCGTCCCATAATGCATCAGCGCCCCGAAGGCTCGCGGGCGTTGTAGTTCCAGGGGCAGCGGGCACTCGGGGAGGGAGGGAGGCGGGGTTAGGCGGGATCCAGCGGGAGGGTCCCGGCCTCCAGCCGGCAGAGGCAGCCCCGGGACGGACCGCTAAAGAACGTTCCGGGCCTGGCAGGGAGAGGCCCCGAACACCCTGGAGTCCGACTCACTACGCGGTCCTCTGTGCCGCTGCTGGAGGTGGGACCGAGTCCTGGACACCTTTCGGGGGCGGGGTCGAAGTGTAACGTAAATCTCTCCGTTAAGCCTTTGTTTTCCTATCTGTAAAATGGGAATAGTAGTATCCATTTCACAGGGAAATCCTGACGTCTGGCCCTGAGAGAAAATGAACCGGGCAGGAGCCTGGGATGGGATCCTGGGGCCCCCAGGACCCACAGTCCTTGACCCTCAAGTACCCGCCCATCTGGCCCACAGCTTGCAGGGACCCTGGACTGCCTGACCTCACAGAGCCAGAGTCCCCAAGACAGAGCTTTGCTGCCCACTCCTGTAGCCCCCCTCAGCGGCCTATGGTCAAGCAATTCCCTTGATCGTCACCCCACTCACCCAATTTTACAGATACACTGAGAGTGAGGGGCCAGCTTGGGGAGCCTTTAAGGGCAGCCTGAGTCTGTCTTGTTCCTGCTGTGGCCCCAGCACCTAACAGAGGATGGAACATGCAGTGAGTGCTCAATAGATGTCCGTTAACTGAATAAGTGAAGGCTAGTAAATGATGCTTAACTTTCACATCCATCATCTCATCACAGCTTGATAATAGCAGCTGCTTAACCCTGATTTATGTTTCCGAAACTAATGAGAGCCTAAGACTCAATTGGCAGTGTTTGTTTCAAATAGATTCCCTAATACCTCCTCTGGAGATTACGATTCAGTGGGATCTAGGCACAGACTCAGAAACTATATAGCACATACACACACACCCTTTTAAGACTCAGACGGGTCTGGGAAACTCTCAACTAAAGCTTTTTATTTTTATTTTCAGGCATTCATATTGGTTCACAGTTGATGTTCTCAGTGCTACTCTGTGTGGTAGGATCTATTATTTCCCGCATTTTACAGGTGAAAAAACTGGCAGGGTGATTAAGGAACCCAACACCACTAAACCCCAAAAAGCGTGGCCACTACACTGTACTATAATTTAACCATCATTTTCCTGCTCAGATAAAGTGAGGAATTTGCTAGGACTTCTCTCCTCCTGGTCCTCAACTCATCAGCTCTGCTTAGGAAGGACTGGTACAGTATAAAGGGTTTTCTTTCTTTTTACCTTGTGCCTCAGTCGCTCCACTTCTGGGAATTTGTCCAAAGACACTATTAGCCACCAGCAATATGCAAGTTTTTGGAGGTAGTATTTGAACTAATAGTTTCTATTTTAGTGGTGCTGTATTTATTTTAATGTGTCTTAGTTTGAAAAATACTGGCATAAATGGCCAGGTATCATTTGATCCCAGGAGTTTGAGAGCCTACAGTGAACTATGATTGTACCACTGCATTCCAGCGTGAGTGACAAAGCAAGGCCCTATCTCAAAAAAAAGAAAACAATTTCTTACTGGTGTAAATAAATATCAAGTTTAAAAACATCAATTTAAAGAATGTCATTTGTTAGATAATATTATGAGTGGTATGAATATATGGCAAATTTTGGGGAAGATGGGAAATGAATGACTGAAATTTGAGAAACACTGCGCTCAAAAAAGAGTTCAAAGGGAGAAAATTTTCTAGAGCTGTTGACGGTAGCATCCTCCGTAATAGTGAATGGCTTAATCAGGAGGCTTGATTTATAGATAACAGATTTTACATTGGCTGGGTTAAGCCAAAGAGGGATTTGTTAAGGGTGTTAGGCAGCTTACAGAACTGTGGGGCAAGCTGGAGAAATAATGCCAAGCCATAGAACTGATCTAATCTGGTAACAAAACAGCTGCTAATGCCACTGCCACCAAACACTAAACGCCAGGATTTAGACTCATCCATAACAGCTATTTCTGGTGGCAATGAAACCACTTCTGCTTCAAGAAAGTCACTTTACATTCCCTCCAGCCTCAAAGCCAGGCAGATTCAAAGCCTCACATGAATGTGTCTTGTCGGAGAACCCTAGATCATATGTCAGTGATCAGAGGGGCTGAGAGATGTGTTCTAACTTTGACGTTGGAAGCAGGACTGATAGCAGGGCATTTCCCCAGGTGTAGAAAGTCTCTTCAAGAGATGTCCAGTTGTACCTATGACCAATATTACACTGGAATAGTGGAATGAGCATCAATATCCAGTATGTGGATGTGGTGGCATGAATTTTGACTTAGCCACTATGTGAAATATTAATTGGGTAGGTTCAAAGTTGCAGGGACCAGGGGAGCCAGCCACCCATGAAAACACTTGTGAGCAATGTTAAATGAAGAAAGGAAGCTGGCTACTATGGAAAAATAGCAAATGGACAAGGTCAAGGGGTAAAGGGGGAGAGACAAAGGAAGTCAGAAACAATGTGGAGGCCAGGCGAGGCTCACACCTGTAGTCCCAGCGCTTTGGGAGGCCGAGGCAAGAGGATTACCTGAGACCAGGAGTTCAAGATCAGCCTGGGCAACAAAGCAAGACTCTATCTCTATAAAAAAAACCAAAAAAATTAGCCAGGCATGGTGGCCCACATGTGTAGTCCCAGCAACTCAGGAGGCTGAGGCTGGAGGATCACTTGAACCCAGGAGTCAAGGCTACAGTGAGCTATGATTGCACCACCGTCCTCCAGCCTGGGCAACAGAGTGAGACCCTTTCTCAAAAAAAAAAAATTGTTACTTTAGGAGGCTATGAATTTGCTTGGAGAAGGAGAGAGAGCTTCTCTCTGTCAAACATTTATTTTACATGATTTCAGTTAAAGAAAGGAAAGTTCTTTTTGCAGAATCATTAACTCTTTAAAAAAAAGATGCTCTTAAAATCCACTGGCCTTCTGGCTCCCCCTAACAGTTCATTCTGCCATGTGGCAGACACTTTGAGCTCCTACTTAACACAGCCATTTTTTCATCTTTCTATAGGCAGGGTCCTGATTTTTGTTCAGGGTGGCCCTTTCCTCAGCTCCAGGAAGAGATCTGAGGTCTAGTCCAGTTCTAGTGGTCCAGTTCTCCTTGGCAGGGGGATGTGTTTAGGGTTGGGTATGTGACTCTTTTGGGGCCAGTAATCAGTAAGAGAAGATCTGCTTGGGTTCCAGGAAAGGATTCTCCCTCTCGAGAAGGAGACATGGAAGAGATGGGTCTCCTTCTGACTCTGGATATTGCTGGGTCTGGGTGGGAAACCTGGAACCACTGTGCCCATCTTACTCCCAGCTGATGCAGAAGCCAAAACCCAGAGGAGGGCAAAGCAAAGAGCACTTAGAAGACTGGATGACTTGCATGTGAGGGGATGAATGTCCATAATGTTTAAACCAGGCTGCCAGGGTTGTCTGTAATTTGCAGTCAAAGACGGCCATACTCTCCTCATACATCTCAACACGTGGCACCACTGTTCCCCCTGCCCCTCACCCCACACCTAACCCGTCGCGCAGCCCTCGTGGTTCTCTCTCCAAACTGTCTCCAGAACGCGACTACTTCTCTCAACACTGTGGTTCCGTCCGGGATCGTCTGTCATCTAGGTGACCCCAGGAGCTCTTCAGTGGGTCTCTTGGCTCTGTTCCTGTTCCTAGTACCTGTCAAATCCATTCTCCACACAGCAGCCAGATCAGTCTTTAAAATGTGGATCAGAATGACTTCCTCCCTCCATGGCTCCGTATCACACATAGAATAAAATCCAGACTCCTAGTTCAGATGGGTGAATTGTATCTCACGGGGGTAGGTGGTGGGTGAATTCCATCTCAATAAAGCAGTTATTAAAAAAGATAATAATTCAAACTCCTCCCCAAGGCCCACAGGCCTGAGCAATCTGGCCTCTGCCCCCCTCTTCGAACCCTTTTAGTACAACTTACATTTCACTCTGTCCCCCAGCCACACTGGCCATCCTTCTGTTTTGTGAACATCCCACAATTGTTTCTACCTCAGGAGCTTTGCAGATGTTCTTCCCTCTCCCTGGAATGCTCTTGCCTGTGGCTTTCCCCATGGCTTGCTCCTTCTTGACATTCAGGTCCCACCTCAGATGTCACCTCTTCTATCTAAAGTAGTCCCTAAGTCACTCTCTTATGTCTTCTTTGGTCTGCTTCATAGCATCTAAACATCCAAAATTACCTTACGAGTTTGCTGGGGTTTCTTTTCCTGTCTCACCAGCTCGTGACAGTAAGAACTTACTTTTTACTCTAAGAACAAAGCCTGCGAATGAGTATTTGTTGAAGGAATTATTTGTTGAGTCATTTCAGTTGAGCAGTTATGTTGGGCTTAAGTTTCCTGATGTTTTCAATGGAAAGCAAATTTTGTATTCATGTTCATTTTATAAATAAAGATGAGTCACTGTAACTTCTTGGGCCTCAGCTTTATTGTCTATAAATTGGGAGTGGACATAAACTATATGATCTCTATTTCTTGTAGCTCTAAAACTTCTAAAAAGAGGGTGGGGTTTGGCGTAACTGAAGTGAGTACTGGGCTGGCCGAGAACTTTAGGGGCAAATTGCAGACTAGGTCCCAGAGCTTTGCCCTCAGTTCCACTCCACAAACCCTTATAGGAAGCTCAAGGGCATCCTTCACTCTTCTTGCCACCAGCCTAACTGGCAATGCCTCCTCAGAAATCTCTCCGGGTAGTCCCCTTGGCATCGGCCCTATTGCACTGCCCTCTGCTGGACCACTGCACCAGCGTCCTCTCTGCCTGCAGGCATCGTGTCTCCCCACCGCTCCTG